TACCGCAGTTCAAAATATATGAACTTCATATATTCATTGTATCTGATTTATCATCACGGGTTTATTACGAATCAACTTAACGGCCTGCTCCCAGTTGGCTTGTTAGCTCAATTGGTAGAGCGCTGCACTAGTATCGCAGAGGTCAGTGGTTCGAATCCCGTACAGGCCTGATTTTTTTCAGGTCTGATTTTCGCTATTGCATAAATAGCGCTCTCTTCTGCGAGGATCGTGCATCATACGTATCTACTACCGCAGTTCAAAATATATGAACTTCATATATTCATTGTATCTGATTTATCATCACGGGTTTATTACGAATCAACTTAACGGCCTGCTCCCAGTTGACTTGTTAGCTCAATTGGTAGAGCGCTGCACTAGTATCGCAGAGGTGAGTGGTTCGAATCCCGTACAGGCCTGATTTTTTTCAGGTCTGATTTTCGCTATTGCATAAATAGCGCTCTCTTCTGCGAGGATCGTGCATCATACGTATCTACTACCGCAGTTCAAAATATATGAGCTTCATATATTCATTGTATCTGATGTCAAGTTATGTTCATCATCATCATCATCATTTGCCTTATTTTACGAATACAAAGATTCATTTACAGCGATAACAGCTCAGTAGAAGGCGAGGAGACCAAAGAAGCCAGCGGGGCTTATGGGAGAGCTACCTCACTTACAATAATAAATCAAATCAAGTAAAAAACGCGCCAGTTTATATTCATTAAGGCTCGCTCATTAATCTGCTAACCACAACATGGACAGGTGCATCGATAGGGGAAAGCATAATTACTCTTCCAGAGTTTTATTTGTATTTTATCCTCTGTTTTTATCTCCGCGTATTAATCAACTATAGTTTATAATACTTCTCAGAAAGAAACTTGACGTTTCCAGCGTCAGACTTTCGTTGGTTAAAACCAATGTCAATATCTATTTCATGGTCAGATGATTGAGTTTTTTTTCTTGCCAGCCATGCAGCACGAATCTCTGTCACCTGAGTTGAAAGTGATTATCGTGCGTGAAATTAATTACTTGTACAGATCTGTCTCCCAAAGTGCTTTTTTATATTTAAGATGTCGAAATCATTACAAAATCCTTTTGTGGTAATGAAATTGTGCTCTCGTGAGTTCCAACAGGAGCAGTCAACTGATAAGAGAGACTCCATTGTACCTTCGACACGATTCAGTTTGATTACTTTTTTACTGATCTGTGATAAAGAATAATTATATTGCCTGTTTCTTTGAAAAGCAGAAAATTCGTTACTTTGCCGTGGGAAGAGATTATCTGGAAACCTTTGGTAACTCCATGGCAAACTAAGGTACAATGATGACTCGATTTCCTTTAGTCAGTTTGTCATCTTTTACTTAATTTACTTACTTTATTCGCTGACATTCGAAGACATTACTCGCACTTGGCGAATGCCGGAATTGAATATAAAAGCACTCTTTCCACTTTTCAAAGAGAGAACGTAAGAATCAACCATCCCAGTGAGTTATCGATGAATAGATGACTGTATACGTTTGCGTCATTAGTAATGATATGAACTTAAAAAAAAAAGACTTAAAAGGGACTTTTCTCCTTAAATTCGTAGATCATTAAAAACGTGTCACTGAATTGGAGGTTCTTCACAATAATCGTTTGTTTTCACCTAACGCATTCAGCCGTATCATCGTCTATAACCCTAAGCAATTGGAATACAACTGTGGTGCAACAAAACTTTCTCTTTCCAAAGGACACAAATCATAAAACAACGAAACGTTGCCTTCTATTTCTGTTGGTAAAGATGTCCAACCTGGTATTACCACACCGAAGTTTAGAAGTTATTATAACTGAAGCGATTGTGTGCCTTGCATTGAACATCACGAGTTTCATTGGAAATGTCATGGTCTGTTTAGCGGTGTTCAAAAACCGAAACTTGCGATCAACCACCAACCTGTACATCACTGCTTTAGCAATCAGCGATCTGCTGTGTGCAACGGTGGAAATGCCGTTAACCGCTGCAACCTTGATCATCGGAAGATGGGATTTTGGTGACGCCGTATGCCAAATTCAAGGCTTTGTTGATGCATTCGCCACCTACTCGACCCCAGCAACCCTATGTTTGCTGGCTTTTAACCGTTACATACGAATTGTCAAAACCAATCTGTACAATAGATTGTTTTCTCCACAAAAGTCCATCATCTGGTTGTGTTGAATGTGGCTTTTCCTTGCATCTTATCTGTTGACTGGTCGAGTCTCAAATCGCCTCTATTTTGAATTCAGTCCTGGCTATGAAGTGTGTACCCTTGGTTTCGCAAACTCAACAATTCAGATTGTTCACTTTTCGATCATCTTTGGATTTTATTTTCTTCTACCTTTCTTCATTGGTAGTTTCAGCTACTACAAAGTATTTTCAAAAACCAGTGAACATGAATTGCACATGGCCTCCTCGCTTCGTCAATCGGCCAGTGACAGTATAGTACGCAGTTCAGTGAGAGAAATAAACATCACTCGGGTGCTACTTTATATAGCTGCCGGGTTTTTGTGTTCCTGGATACCACTATGGATAATCATCTTTTGGAGGCGTTTTTCTCCCGATACCTGCCCAAGAGCAGTAGCTTTAACGTGCACGATGCTGCTCTTTGTGAGTGCTTCAATAAATCCTTTTATTTACATGTTCACGAATGGCGAGTTCCAAAGAGAATTTCGAAAACTTCTTCGTTGCCGTAGGGAAGCAAGAATGGTTCCTGCAGAAATTCTTGAGGTTGGGGACATCGAACGTTAGAATGTGAGGGATACGGCGAGACGTAGCAGATCTCAGGTGGTACCGGAGGCTGATTTGGTGAACTATCTCCAATTTTGAGAATAAAATATCTCGCGACAGATTTGTTGCAGCGACTTCCAGTTTTCACATATGATATGTTATTCTGCATATAATCTGAAAAATAGTGTTTCGCTAGGTGTTATGAAATTTGTGAAATTTCATGGAATTAAGGGGTGTGTCCAAAAGGCCATTTTGGAGAAACACCTCTCTAAATCCGAGCCAATTTAATGTTATTCAAAATGGTCTCGCATATGTACAAAGAAATTGGGAGTAAAGATTTCCAGCCCAGTCCGCCAAAGAATATTTTATTTTGACAATTTTATCGTCAAAATATGAAAAAAGTAAGGTTGAGATCCAGTACCTTCTTATTCTGTCAATTTAATTTGTAACGGACCGTGGCGGAATGCGGTATAAATTTTCCTCATCGTGGGTAGTGCTAGTTTTGCCAAATCTCAGGTCTAAAGAATCAGATCCCCTCGAGATAGTGCTGTTGCAGTGGCATGACACGATGTAGCTGCACTAATTAATTTGCGAAAAGCGGCAATATCTTCAGCAAAACTCGTCGGAGTAACCATGTTTACTTTTCTTCCTTCGGTCGCCATCTTGTGTAAGCCAGTGCTACATGGCTGCAGCGGTAAAACGCAAGGTAGCACGATATGGATATTCATAATCGCCATATTCGTCTTGTTAATAATTCCATGAAATCAATCAGAACACGAAACTATAAACATTTGCACTATTTGCAACAGTGTTGAGACAACTTTGGCGCTCATGCTGTGCGGAAGCGAAACAAGAGTAGAGGTCCACTTGGCCGGGAAGTGAAAAGAAGGGGAGTGTGTCCCGAGGTACCGCAAAAATACGACGTGGTGGAGGCATTGGAAAATCACAACTCAAGACAGAGGGCACAGTTTTTCTCAGTACGGACCGATCTATGCATGCAGATGAATAATATTTTTAGTTTTTTTTTCTAGCACATAACTAAGTGATTGTCAACAAAACCCAAATGATTTAGAACGACAATTACGAGACTAATTACGGGAAATTCCTCTATAAACTTAACAATTCTTTAGCGAGAAGATGATATAGAAAACAGACGTTATTCAAATTAACTTGAGAAAGCTTTCACCGAAACATCTTTATTTGTAAAGGTAACTTAAAGGAGGCTTCCAAGCAAACTTTGAAACATTTTTTAATAAGTAACTGTCACGATGTGACAGCTGTCAAGTGAAAAGAAAAAAAGCGCATGTGCGCTTTTGAATAAACAACATTATTACACGACTCGGGCAGTCAGAGGGCCAATAACTAAAATCAACCAATCAAAATGCTCTATTGCCGGTGCAATATTCTCTAATTATTGGACCGGGCACTGTCCCGAATGGTCCCGAATGATACCGCACTTGTGTCCCTTTGAACTTCAGTCGTATAATAAATCTCTTATAAGAGAGATTAAGCACCACGT